ACCTCACCCCATCACCCCACGACCCACCCGCGGCTGCCACCCCCACCCATGGGTGCACCTCGGGGCAGGGAACGGGCAGCCCCAAAGTTCGGCTCCTCTTTATGGGGCAGAAAGGTTGGATTTAGGTGCTTTCCCCCGCCCAGCCCGTGCAAACTGAACTCAGACACAGCCCCTGGGCAGAGACAGGGCTTGGGGGGTGCCGGGCTCCTTTAGCCTTTCCCTTGCGCCCCCACCCCAAATTCCCCTACAGCCCTGTGCCACCCGCTGCCAGCCGGGCAGGGGACCCTCGGGAGAATCCCGGAAGGCACCACAGGACCGTCAGGACGGGGACATGGTGGTGGCTGCAGGGATGCTGGGCATCCTCTCCTCCTGCTGTCCCCAGGATGCTGTTCCTCTCCCAGAGATGCTGAGCATCCTCTCCTATCCTACGTCCCCAGGATGCTGTTCCTCTCCCAGAGATGCTGAGCATCCTCTCCTATCCTACGTCCCCAGGATGCTGTTCCTCTCCCAGAGATGCTGAGCATCCTCTCCTATCCTACGTCCCCAGGATGCTGTTCCTCTCCCAGAGATGCTGAGCATCCTCTCCTATCCTACGTCCCCAGGATGCTGTTCCTCTCCCAGAGATGCTGAGCATCCTCTCCTATCCTACGTCCCCAGGATGCTGTTCCTCTCCCAGAGATGCTGAGCATCCTCTCCTATCCTACGTCCCCAGGATGCTGTTCCTCTCCCAGGGATGCTAGGCATCCTCTTCTCCATCCCTGGAATGATGCTCCTGCCCTGGGGATGCTGAGCATCCTCTCCCCCTGCTTTTCCTGGGCTGTTGCTCCTCTCTTGGGAATGCTGAGCATCCTCTCCTCTCCTCCGTCCCCAGGATGCTGCTCCTCTCACAGGGATGCTGAGCATCCCCTCCTCCCACTGTCACTGGGATGATGGTCCTGTCCTGGGGATGCTGAGCATCCTCTCCCCCTGCTGTCCCCGGGATGATGCTCCTCTTCTCCCACTGTCCCCAGCATGATGCTCCTCTCCTCCCGCTGTCTCCAGGATGATCTCCTCTCCCAGAGACGCTGAGCATGCTCTCCTCCATCCCTGGAATGATGCTCCTGTCCTGGGGATGCTGAGCAACCTCTCCCCCCGCTGTCCCCGGGATGGTGCTCCTCTTCTCCCACCATCCCCGGGACACTACTCTTCTCCCAAGGATGCTGAGCATCCTCTTCTCCTCCCGCTGTCTCCAGGATGATCTCCTCTCCCAGAGACGCTGAGCATGCTCTCCTCCATCCCTGGAATGATGCTCCTGTCCTGGGGATGCTGAGCAACCTCTCCCCCCGCTGTCCCCGGGATGGTGCTCCTCTTCTCCCACCATCCCCGGGACACTACTCTTCTCCCAAGGATGCTGAGCATCCTCTTCTCCTCCCGCTGTCTCCAGGATGATCTCCTCTCCCAGAGACGCTGAGCATGCTCTCCTCCATCCCTGGAATGATGCTCCTGTCCTGGGGATGCTGAGCAACCTCTCCCCCCGCTGTCCCCGGGATGGTGCTCCTCTTCTCCCACTGTCCCCAGCATGATGCTCCTCTCCCAGGGATGCTGAGCTCCCTCTCCTCCCACTGTGCCTGGGATGATGCTCCTCTTCTCCCACCATCCCCGGGACACTACTCTTCTCCCAGGGATGCTGAGCATCCTCTCCTCCCACTGTCCCCAGAATGATGCTCCTCTCCCAGGGATGCTGAGCTCCCTCTCCTCCATCCTCAGGATGCTGCTCCTCTCCCAGGGACGCTGAGCATCCTCTCCTCCCACTGTCCCCAGAATGATGCTCCTCTCCCAGGGATGCTGAGCTCCCTCTCCTCCATCCTCAGGATGCTGCTCCTCTCCCAGGGACGCTGAGCATCCTCTCCTCCCACTGTCCCCAGAATGATGCTCCTCTCCCAGGGATGCTGAGCTCCCTCTCCTCCATCCTCAGGATGCTGCTCCTCTCCCAGGGACGCTGAGCATCCTCTCCTCCCACTGTCCCCAGAATGATGCTCCTCTCCCAGGGATGCTGAGCTCCCTCTCCTCCATCCTCAGGATGCTGCTCCTCTCCCAGGGACGCTGAGCATCCTCTCCTCCCACTGTCCCCAGAATGATGCTCCTCTCCCAGGGATGCTGAGCTCCCTCTCCTCCATCCTCAGGATGCTGCTCCTCTCCCAGGGACGCTGAGCATCCTCTCCTCCCACTGTCCCCAGAATGATGCTCCTCTCCCAGGGATGCTGAGCTCCCTCTCCTCCATCCCCGGGATGTTGTTCCTCTCACGGGGATGCTGGGCATCCTCTCCTTCCACTGTCCCCAGGATGCTGCTCCTTTCCTGGGGATGCTGAACATCCTCTCCCCCTGCTGTCCCCGGGATGCTGCTCCTCTCCCGGGGATGCTGAGCTCCCTCTCCTCCATCCCCAGGATAATGTTCCTCTCCTGGGGATGCTGAGCATCCTCTCCCCCTGCTGTCCCTGGGATGTTGCTCCTTTCTTGGGGATGCTGAGCTCCCTCTCCTCCCACTGTGCCTGGGATGATGCTCCTCTTCTCCCACCATCCCCGGGACACTACTCTTCTCCCAGGGATGATGAGCATCCTCTCCTCCCACTGTCCCCAGAATGATGCTCCTCTCCCAGGGATGCTGACCTTCCTCTTCTCCATCCCTGGAATGATGCTCCTGTCCTGGGGAAGCTGAGCATCCTCTCCCCCTGCTGTCCCCAGGATGCTGTTCCTCTCCCAGGGATGCTGAGCTCCCTCTCCTCCATCCTCAGGATGCTGCTCCTCTCCCAGGGACGCTGAGCATCCTCTCCTCCCACTGTCCCCAGGATGTTGCTGCTGTCCCCGGGATGCTGAGCATCCTCTCCTCCCACTGTGCCTGGGATGATATTCCTCTTCTCCCACTGTCCCTGGGACACTATTCTTCTCCCAGGGACGCTGAGCATCCTCTCCTCCCACTGTCCCTGGGATGCTGCTCCTCTCCCAGGGACGCTGAGCATCCTCTCCTCCCACTGTCTCCAGGATGTTGCTGCTCTCCCCGGGATGCTGAGCTTCCTCTCCTCCCACTGTCCCTGGGATGCTGCTCCTCTCTCAGGGATGCTGAGCATCCTCTCCTCCCACTGTGCCTGGGATGATATTCCTCTTCTCCCACTGTCCCTGGGACACTATTCTTCTCCCAGGGATGCTGAGCATCCTCTCCTCCCGCTGTCCCCAGGAGATGCTGCTCCTCTCCCAGGGATGCTGAGCATCCTCTTCTCCGTCCCTGGAATGATGCTCCTCTCCCGGGGATGCTGAGCATCCTCTTCTCCGTCCCTGGAATGATGCTCCTGTCCCGGGGATGCTGAGCATCCTCTCCCTCTGCCTCTGGCACAGCCGCTGGATTCACACATGGGGAGGACACCCAGTCTGGGGACACGGGGGTGCCGCTGGCCTTACCTTGTCCGCTCGGCTGCCGGGGGGAAGCCGAAGCTGGTGAGAAGCGGGGAAGGGGTGGCTGAAACATCTGGCGATTGCTCGGGAATGGGCGAGTGGGGGGTGGTGGGGAGGTCGGCGGGCGGCGCGGGGGGCTGCGCGGCCGGTGGGGTGGAGGACGCCTTGCGCACCCCCGGGGTGCCTCGGCGAGCCACCCACGAGGTGTCCATCACCCTGACGCCCATGCTGGGGGGGGACACAGAGACAAGCTCTCAGCACCCGTCCTGCTGGAGGCGACCAGAGGCACCGCATCCCAGCTCCTTTGGGGTGCCTGGTCCCTAAAAATGCCTCTTCCACCAGGAAGCTGCTGGGGATGAACCTCCAAGGCAACAGGGCGGGGGTGGCAGCGTGGGATGCGCTCGTGTCACCCACCGGCCACCTCTCCCCCAGGTACCAGCATCCTCCCAGCACCCACCCAGCACCCTCCCAGCACCCTCCCAGTATCCTCCCGGCACCGCTGCAGAGGATACGGTACCTTTGGATTTTCCTAAGGCTGCATGGGCAGAAACACACAATTATTAGCATAAAAAAACCCTAAAACTTGACAGTGCAGAGGTTGAGAGCCCACCACTCGGACGAGCTGCGAGGTCACGGGGTTTTGAGAGAGGGGCAGGAGGGACACGGCGGGGACCAGGCTACGTCGGTGATGGGGAGAGCCTGGGACATTTTTTAGAGATGAGGAGAACCCTGGGGACATTATTCCAAGATGGGAAGAGCCCTGGGGATGGATTTTTGGAGATGAGAAGAGCCCTTAGGGGTGGGTTTTGGAGAGGGAGGAGAACCCTGGGGACTTTTTTGGAGATGGAGAGAGCCTTGGGGTGGGTTTTGGAGATGGGGAGAGCCCTGAGGACATTTTTTTGGAGAAGGGAGGAGCCCTGGGGACATATTTTTGGAGATGGGGAGAACCCTCAGGGTGGGTTTTGGAGATGGGGAGAGTCCAGGGGGTAGTTTTTTGAGATGGGGAGAGCCCTGGGGGTGTTTCTGGAGCCAGACTGGCTGTGGTCCCCGTGAGGGTGGCACGGGAGGGCAGGGGGCACCCCTAGGCAGGGAGTGGGGAGCTTTCCCCAGGAGCAGAACCAACAGACCTTGGTGACACCAGGGCACATGGAGACCCCATCACAGCACAGCCCTGGTGCCACACCATGGGCCACCCCACTCCCATCTCCAGCGGGCTAGGGGCTCACCTGAACACACCCAGGTGCCCAGCATGGTCCTTCCACCCCAGGATGACAGCAATGCCACCACCTCCCTCTCCCCAAGCCCCTGGGGGGCGCAGACCCTACCCATCCTTCTTGTAAAACTCCAGCATCATGTTGTCGGTGGCCACGCTGAGGGGCCGCCGCGCCTGGTCGTGCTGCCGGCGGTCGCCGTGGTCCATGTCCGGGGAGGGCATGGAGCTGTAGTTGGCGTTGTGGTTGACGTGCATGGGGCTGCCGTAGTTGCCCGTCACGTTGAACTCGATGTCTGCGGTTTGGGGACACACACACACACACACAAAACGGGGGATATACACACACATTAGGTTGTGTGTCCTCAGCAGGGGGGGTAGGATGGGGGGGTATCGGCATCGCAGGAAGGCTCAGGGTGCACCCAGAGCAGCTGGGTTGAGCTCACTGCTGTGATGAGTTCTGCCAGATCTCTGCCTGAGCTCCCACCCCAAGCCAAGGAAAACAGAAGGAACCGTGAAAAATAAGTATGAGAGCTCAGGGGGGTCCCCATGAAGCCCATCCCACCCCACCACAGCCGTGGGGCACAGCCTACCTCCAGGGAAGAACCAGTCGGCGTGCTGGATGAGTGGCTCGATGATGCCCACGATCTGCAGCGAGACGGTCGTCATCATCTCCGTCATGTTCCTGCAAGGCGGCAGGCAGGGGCTCAGCATCCCCCCTGGCCTTATTCCCCATGGGATTTTTGGCCCCAGACTCCCCCTCCCTCACCCCCTTCCCCATCCTATCCCTCTGGCATGCTCGCTTTCCAGCTGGACACCGTACCCGTCCGCCTGCGGCCAGAGGAGGTTGGGTCCCAGCACGATGGCCACGTTGCTCGGCGTCATTTTATTGATGTCCTGGTACTCAGTTAGCTTGGCCAGGAATTTAATCAGGTACCTGGAAAGCAGAGCCAAGCCGTGTCCGTGTGTCGGGATGGCACCTTCTCCGTCCCTTCCCGGAGTCCCCGAGTCCCCAGGCTCACCTGATGTTGTTGTAGTTGGCTTTGGGCAGCTTCTCGCAGGCGCTCCACAGAGCCTGCAGCCGCTTCTCCTGCTCCGGGATGCTGGGGGGGAGGTGGGTGAGAGGGTCAGCATCCCCCATCCTCACCTTGGGGGTCTCGGGGACCCTGCCTGCCCTGCCCCTGCGGACCCTGCCAGACCCTCGGGCTGTTGTCAACATCCTAGAAGTCAATTAACCCCAAAACCTTGGCAGAAACGAGAAGGAAACCTGTGGGCTGCAGGTTGGATGCTGGTCCTCTCCTCCTCCCCATGTAGGCCCTCCCCAAGGTTTGTGTTTTGGGTTTTTGGTTTGTGTTTGCCTTTGCAGTAAATTCCCCTTCCAACAGCCCCCCAAAACAACAGCCCACTCCCCCCAAGTGCCACCCTTGGGGACTGTCACCTCCATTGAGCCACTGCCACATCCCTGCCCAGCTCCAGCACCCCCAGGGCAGGTGGGGGATGTGGTCAGACCCATATTCAGGTACCAAGGAGGTGGTTCCCACCCTAAAAGGAGATGTTCCTTCTCCCACCTCCCTCTGCCCCTCACCCCCTGCCCCAAACACCTCCCATGGTGGAGCAGACACACTGGTGTCACCTCAGCTGGCCCCATCCTGCAAAGCACCCCACAAATCAGCTGAGAGCTCCCTTGTGCTGTCCCCTGGGGTTTGCACACCCACCCAGGAATGGCACCAGTGCCTAGAACCCAAGGCCTTGCCAAAAGATGCTGGGAAAGCTTAGCCACCTTGCCCAGGGTGTCCTGGACAACAGTGGGGACATCAGGGCCACCCTCACTGCTGGGACCCATGATGCTCATCATTGGAACCCTCCGGATTCTCAGATCCCGGAAGAACCATCCCAAATGGTGTAAGCCATGTCAGAAATAACTCATGGAGCCCACACCATCCATGGGGACCCAAGATCTCACCACCTACGCAACAGAGGAACAGGGGAGTTGCCCCAGACTCACTTGGAGGCCTGGATCCACTCCTCGTACAGCTCGAACGTCATGAGGGGCTCCGGCAGCTCTCGCAGGTAGGACTTGAGTGCTCCTGTGGCACACAAGGGACACAGGACTTGACACTGTGGGTGGCACTGGCCAACGGGTACCAAGTGATTTTGCTCCTTGGCATTTTGACTCACATCCCTCCCAACTGATGCCTCCCAAAACACCTGTTACTCCCTCCAGCTTGGTGGAACCCGTAGCATCCCCTGACCACCTTGTCCCCTCCACCTAGTCCCTCCGAGCACCTCCCCAGCTCCCTCCACCATTTTTGTCTCCACCAGCCCTTCACCCAGCTCTCTACCACTGGCTTTTGCCTAGGACTTCCACAGCTCCTTGCACTGGAGAAGGGTTCCCATTTGCAGTCTGTAGGAAACCAGGGTCCAAGGGTCCAATCCTGCACCCGCCGGGGAGCCCAGCCCAGGAGCTGACTGGCATTTAAACCAAATTAATGCTCAATAGCAGCCCAGCGGGCTTGGATCTGTGCTTGGAGAGGGTCTTGGCCACAGAAGAGGATGAGAGAAGATGACAATCTTGATGATGTGTGAGTCTTCCCAACTGCTCCCTGATGCTGTGGAGCCTCTCCTGAGCAGTGTCACCCTCATTAGCGTCACCCTCATTAGTACCACCAGGGCCCCAGTTGTCACCTCAGATTACGACTGCATCCCTGTTTTCTTCCTCGCCTGCGACCAAAAGTGCTGCTCAAGCTCTTGGCTGTGGAGGGGACATGCAGATTGGGGTTTGTGGTCTTCCATGGATGGCAACTCCCAAATGTCCCCCCTTCCACCAGGAGCTGTATTTCTGCACCTGCATTTGTCCCCCCCTATATTCTGGCTTTGCTGTTCAAAGGCTTTGGGACAAATCACAGAAGGGCTGAGGTGGGAAGGGGTCTCTGGAGGTCATCTGGTCCAACCCCTGGCTCCAGCAGGACCTCCCAGAGCTGGTTGTCCATAACCATGTCCTGAGGGCTGTGAGTATCTCCAAGGATTGGAGATGCCACCACCTCCCTGGGAAACCTGTGCCAGTGCTTGGTCACCCACACAGTGACAAAGCATCATCTGATGTTCAGAGGGAACCTCCCCCGGTTCAGTTGGTGCCCATTGCCTCTGGTCCTGGCCCTGGCCACCACTGGAAAGAGCTCTGTCTTCTTTGCACCCTCCCTGCAGGTATTTATATCCATCAACAAGATCCCCCAGAGCCTTCTCTGCTCCAGGCCGAAGAGTCCCAGCTCCTAGGAGAGATGCTCCAGGCCCTTCATCATCTTCATGGCCTGTCACTGGAGACTCGCCGGTATGTCCAGGTCTCTCTTGTAGTGCTCAGCACTGGACCCAGCACTCCAGGTGCGGCCTCACCAGTGCTGAGCAAAGGGAAGGATTCATTCCTCCCAGTCCAGCTGAGGACACCATTTGCCTTCATGTTGCTGGCCCATGGTCACCTTAGTTGTCCACCAGAACCTCCAGCGCCATCTCTGCCAAGCTGCTTTCCAGCTGGGTGGCCCCAGCATGTCCTGGGGCTGCTCCTCACCAGGGACAGCACTTGGTGCTTGCCCTTGTTGAACTTCACCAGGTCTCTCAGCCCATTTCTCCAGCCTTCCCAGGTCCCTCTGGATGGCAGCACCACTCTCTACTGCCCCAGCTGCTCCTCCCACTGTCATCTGCCAACTTGCTGAGGGTGCATCCCTCTGGGTGGCAGCCCCCCCCTCTGCTGCCCCAGCCGCTCCTCACACTGTCATCTGCCAACTAGTTGGTGCCCATTGCCTCTGGTCCTGGCCCTGGCCACCACTGGAAAGAGCTCTGTCTTCTTTGCACCCTCCCTGCAGGTATTTATATCCATCAACAAGATCCCCCAGAGCCTTCTCTGCTCCAGGCCGAAGAGTCCCAGCTCCTAGGAGAGATGCTCCAGGCCCTTCATCATCTTCATGGCCTGTCACTGGAGACTCGCCGGTATGTCCAGGTCTCTCTTGTAGTGCTCAGCACTGGACCCAGCACTCCAGGTGCGGCCTCACCAGTGCTGAGCAAAGGGAAGGATTCATTCCTCCCAGTCCAGCTGAGGACACCATTTGCCTTCATGTTGCTGGCCCATGGTCACCTTAGTTGTCCACCAGAACCTCCAGCGCCATCTCTGCCAAGCTGCTTTCCAGCTGGGTGGCCCCAGCATGTCCTGGGGCTGCTCCTCACCAGGGACAGCACTTGGTGCTTGCCCTTGTTGAACTTCACCAGGTCTCTCAGCCCATTTCTCCAGCCTTCCCAGGTCCCTCTGGATGGCAGCACCACTCTCTACTGCCCCAGCTGCTCCTCCCACTGTCATCTGCCAACTTGCTGAGGGTGCATCCTGCCCCATCATCCACGTCATTAATGAAGATATTAAGCAGGACTGGACCCCACGTCAACCCATGGACTACACTGCTGGTTACTGGCCTCCAACCACACTTCATGCCACTGATGAACACCCTCTGGGTGCCCACAGCTGGCGCTTGGGGGCTGGATGGACCATCCTACACACCACCAACCCCTCCACCCCGGGGCAGCCTCTACCTGCGATGGCGTGTGGGTCAGCTGAGTACTCCTGCACGTCCACCACGCAGCAGTCCAGGGCAGCCTTGAGCTTCTTCAGCTTGGAGGCCGAGGGAGCCACTCGGAAGAGACCCTTCACAGAGGACACAGGGGAGCGTCAGACAAGCTTTGAGGTTGGGGATGTCCCCAAAGCCCTCCAGTTCCTCGGCCCCTGACTTGGAGGCACCCATGTCCCCTTTCATCATGCCCAACCGAGGGTGGTAGGACATGGGACCCACCTCCTCCTGCATGCCACACTCCAGCAGCATGGTCACACATGCCTCCACGGGGAAGGCGATCTCCCGCCCGCTGACGGCCAGATGCTCCTCCAAGGGCTTCCCGAAGGAGGGCTTCTCCATCCACGCCTCTGTGATGGGCAGAGGGGGTGAGAGGAAGGGGGAGGACACGGCCGGGACGATCCCCTCCCCGAAAGGCCCTTGGATCACAGCGTTTCGGCAGCAAAATATTCTGTGTGGGTGTTGCTAAAACACCGGGACCCCCCACCTCTGTCCTGGGCAGCTGGGGAAGTGCTTTTTAAAGATGAAATCCAAACAAAATGTTTTCCAATCATCACACGGGACATTTCAAAGGGGCTGGATAACGTTTTCCGGGGCGGGGGGCGGGGAGCAATCACGAGCAAACCTTTGCAATATATTCCCC